AGAGACGGTTGAATGGTGAATGTTCAACATTTTTCCCAACTGCCGGTGCGACATGTCAGGAAATTCCAGGTGTTTGGAAAGAATTTGTTCTCTCAACTCGCGTTGGTTCACCTCCATTTCACGACTTCGAGTTTGACAGCATGTACACAATGAGAAAGTGTGCAAAATTTGGTTGATTTTTACCCAATGGTAAAAAAGTTATGCCCTGTTGAACGTGTCGCAATAATTTCATGTTCGCCCTTTATTAACCTGACATGCAACAACTTCAATGCCTGTCACCGAAGGCAGATCGCCCAACTAACATTTTCAGCTTTATAAGCCAAGTTTTCCAGCATTGTGCTGTGAAGTAGCTGAAAAAAAGCTGCAGATACATCTACAAGCAGAAACTAGCAAAATAGTTTTGCAGAGCGTTTACTCAACTTTTTCAAAACCATTATTCAATTTGTTAGTCACACTGAATAACAGCAGCCAATAAACGCTAATGTCACTTCTATGCAAATATTAATCATCTTTCAACTTGTAGCTGCAAAACAAAGCTAGTAAAGTGAATATATTACTCATTTGACGACCAACCATTCTTGCTAAACAACATACATTTCAAAAGTGCTTTTTCAATAACTAAACAACCTGTACTCAGCTAATAAACTGTGTTAGTGCTACTTTGGAAGCATTTTTACAGTCAACTAGGTTTATTTTTAGGCGTGTGCAGTTTTACAGCTTCTTTTCTGCTCCTTTACAAAGCTGAAGTAACTAGTCGATAAAAGTGATTCATGTGCACTATTATAAAGCCTTTACTCAGCGAAATTGTTGTAGAAAGTCATGTATATTATTTTACGTAAGTTCAAAGTGTTGGCGTAGCGAAGTTGGTAGAGTCATGGTTTGCCTATGCGGTCGTTTCGAGTTCTATTCCGGGTTTCGGTGCAGAGTAAATGATAGGGTGGTGTGCTTATAACTAATTTCGATTAACTTGATTCTCACAACAAAATAAACTCAATCAATTCATCCAACAAAAAGCGTAAACAATATTTAACCCGGCTTCAAGAGAAAGCTGTGTAGTGATTATTGGATAACCGGGAAAAGTTTAAATAAGCACAACTAAACAGCAAGATAACAGCTGTATAGAAGCGTAAATGGAAGTGCAATAAGAGATTATTCCAACCGTCCCAACAGCCATAAGTAGCTGATTAAGTTCGCCAGATTTGCCTCACATCTTATAATGTTTGAATACAGCTTGAGGCTGTATAAATGAAGTGAGTAAAGCGTTTACGTTGTGAAAATTGTTAGTTGGGCGATGCTGTAAAAGGAATGGAGTTTGTTGATCCCCCAGAAGCACCCCTTCATACGAATCTGCGAGGTCAAGGCGAATAATGTTGAAATCGTGGAAAGCAAGATCGTTGTCTGAAAAGAGTCATGTTTCAAAAAGGGCAAATGCATCAGAAAGTGAGTTGTTAACTAAAAACTTGACTCATTTAAGTTATGGCATAAGACTTCTAGAGTTCCACTGAAGAACAGAGATTATATCCTCGACCTCATTCGGAGAGTTATCCATCAAAGGATATGATCGATGCAAGGAAGGACCACCTAGAAGCTAGTTGCTTAAAAAGAGTTTTCATCATTGGCAGCACTAAATTAATAATGCTCCTCGTTGAGTCAGAGATGTTGAATATACAGAAGAAGATATCGACAATACCAGAAAACGTGAACATGGGGGCATGTTCTTGCTGATTATTCAGCTGATTTTCTGGACGTTCTGGACTGGGACATCTGGGGTTTTAGATGATCCTGGAAGTGACGGAAAGTTCTTGTCATAATTACAAGGTTTAAAACTCGGTGGAATGGGTTTCGGTGCATTTCCGTTAGCTCTTGATTTTTCCAAGGGGGGAGGGTGGTCCGTACGAGTGGCCTTACGAGGCTTTTCGGTGGTGTATTTTTTGGCTCGTTTTCTCGTATTGCCTTTAAAGACAAACGGACTAACCTCACCGACCTCTGAGTCAGAGTCTAGATCATCAACTGGCAAAATAGAGAAAGTGTTACCGCTATTGTTAGTAACTTGACAATGCTTTCCTTGTTATTTTCGCTTGTAACTGTAGTAGAGGAAATGGCTCTAATGTTGGCCTATGGATCTAAGATTGGGCCCATCGCTAAAAATATGCTATTTATCATTTTTTTTTCTAGATGAACGTGTCATTGGGACGGTACCAATGGATATTTTTGGTCGCTATTAAAAATTTAGTCGATTGCTGAATTTATGTATGGGCCCAAATTAGGAGCATTTAAGCCGACATTACATCCATTTCCTCTATATGTAGTCTGTATAATCTGTACTGTTTTTTACAACACATCACTGGGACTTTTTCTAGTCTATTGATGCAAAAATAACAAATAAACAAATAAAACAAATGAAAAGGTATATTTGTTTGATTTAAAGTGATTACCAACTCTAAATTGAATCACCAATAAAAAAATACTGAGTAATTTTCTTAGAATAACAAAAAACGTGATCAAATCGAAAATCAAGCGAAGTTTTGAACAATGACAGTGTTGCTAGATGATTTATTTTCACGGGATCAGAAGGCGTCTCTTTGTATATTCTACACAGCAAAAAAAAATGTGTTATCGATCAACGTAATTCAAGCTGATGTATGAAATAATGATGTAATAGCAAAAAGCAGATACAATATTACATCAATAGAAGTAATTATGTTCGCAAAATCGATGTACATCGTACAACGTAATATTACACAACCGACGGAATGACCTCTGTGCAGCTGTTTGGATGTAATATTCAACAACTTTTTTTTTCTGTGTAGTCTCTTTAGGTAGCGCTATTTAAGTGCCATGGATTTGCATAACATGGCGGTCTGAGATCTCAGCAAAACATGACGTTTACTTGCTGAGATTCAGCGAATCATTTGCCGAGATTCAGCAACCAAACGTTAGTTTTGCTGAGATCTCAGTAAAACTGATTGCCGAGCTGCTCGTTGGTGTCAAAATTACCGAGGTTCGTACCCTGGTAGGGCGCTGTTTGATTGATCGTCGCTTCCAACCATCCAGTTATCAAGCTTATAAATCTTGCCGTTAGGTTTTTAAAGAAATAAGGGGCTGTTCATAAACTACGTAGACAGTTTTTTTTTATTCTAGACCCCCCCCCCCCTCCAGCGTAGACAATTGCCCATACAATTTTTTTTAAATTTGTATGGGCCGTGGATAATTTGACAGATAACTGTCTACGTAGTTTATGGACAGCCCCTAACATTTATAGAAAATTGTATAAATTTTTCAATTTTTTTCTTGGGATACGAATTGAATCGTTTTGTTTTGAACATATACGGTAACCACCATAAATCAACCGCTCCTTCATGATTGATCCGCCCGACAGACTGAACCGAGAGAATTGCCACGTGAACGGGTTCGTTCCACCGGATTTCCACTCTTTCACGGCAACTTTCAGCATTAAAAAGAAGGAGACACTTGTTCGATGCCCCTGGTGGCCGGCCGCGAGCGTCAGGTGCCTAAAGGGGCCAACGAAGTATGTCATCATGGTGGATTTTCTCTCATGTTGCCACTTATCCCCGATCGGATGGAGACCTGTCTCTATACTACGGCATTATTGTAGCACATGCCACAGCACAGCCACCGCTAAAGTTGCTACTAACTTGATGGAAACTAACCGATTGTCTATCCGTTTTTGCTCTTCTCCGCTTCCATACATCGTTGCTGGCTGTCATTACCACCGCGCTGGTTAATATTAATGATTAAATCTAGTGGTGAATGGTTGTTCGCTAGTCGCCTGGATCGACGATTTACTACCACAGTGAGTTAGTACTAGACCGAACGTCCTTGAATTACGATCATTTGTTTTCGTCTTTTCGCTTACAAGCAAACCGCATTCCAACGGCGAACGTATGACGAGACTTCCTCGTCGTTTGCCTTGGAAGCAACAATAGGTAGGTACCCGTACAACACCGGTTGTATTGGGTTTATACTAAACCTACTCGACTGTGACCTGTCAATATGGCTAGCTGTCCTGTCAGTAGTAAATTAGTTATCTTTACGATTCTGTGTTAGAATTATACTTATATAAATTGATGTCCAGCAATGAGGCGGTAGTTGTCACACTCTAGGATTCTTAATAGAATTCACGCAATCAACCGTGGAACAAATCCCAACGACATAACTGTGTTAAAAATCCAAAATTGTCCCGCGTGTCATATATGAAATGCCCCCGAGAATATCTCATTTACCACTTCATCATTTTTCAATTTACTAAATTGTTTTCTTTCCGACTGTTTCATCCCATTTACTGCTGCCCTGCGGACGTCATTGCACCGGAACTACTCGATTAACAGTCAGAGGACGACGGTTGAGGTGGTGATGGCGGCGACGGTGGACATATTCGCCATTCGGAGTCTGTGCGGTGACCACGCGCGATCATCCCGCGAAAAGTGGTTAACTGTAGATTTGTGTAATTTTTGTTCCTTCATGCCATCCTCCGGTTTCAAAACTGGGTAGATAAAGCACAAAAAAGAGGCATATGAAACGCACATACCTACACCCGGTCATGACCTAGAAGAGCTCTGCGCTCTACGAGAAAAATTAACAAGATGATTTATTCATTTATTTTGTGTTTTTGCTTCTCCGATTCTCCCGAATGTCTTGTAGGCTCGCACCCATTTCTGGGTTGGGACGGCGGTCGGATGGATCGGTGACCCTGGTAGGGGGATTTATGTTTACGAACGCACCCTCGCACGTCCATAAAAATGCGAAAGTTGAATATTAAAAGTTTTGTTATTTAGCTTTTTTTCTCTCTCTTCTTTTATGTTTAATTTCTCCAGTTGACGTTTGGTTGATTGTTTTCGACGGTCATTTTGCGATTTGCTGTCCTCATTGGGTTGTTGATTTTTTTTGGGTTTCTTTTTTGGATAAGTTTTCGACTTCTGTTTTCTGTCAAATTATAATCGTTAAAATGTCGTTTTGTGTTAATTGTTTTGACATTTGCTGTTGTTTGAGAAATTATGGACGTAATGATCTGGACGGAGGTGGGATGATCGTCGAGAAGGAGGTAATTGTTGGATGATTTTGGATAATTAGTGTTCTTTTTTCTGCAGGTTACCTCGCCGGCAGTTGTTTTCTCTCTTTTCAGCTTGATTTTGACTTATGCCGAGTTGCCATAATATTGTTGAAATTTGTCATTTTAATTTAGTTGTTTGGAATATGATTACCTTAAGCTGATCTATATTCTCTTTCATCTATTTAATGCTGCCATGATCGGTCAGGTGTGGTTCTCGAATAGGCGTGCCAAGTGGCGCCGGGAGGAGAAATTACGGTCCCAGAAGCGTTTGATCAATCAAGTCGGATCCAATGGGTCCCAACCGGGAATGGCCTCAACGATATGTTCACCATCGGCAACGAAAATCTACAACTCGGAGTATGACAATCCCTATGCAGCTGCAGCCGCCGCATCCCAACCTACGACGGATTGTTACAGTTCAATATCCAATTCAGTCGGGCTTATGTCGGGGCAACCCCCACGTGACAATTACCAATATCTTCTATCCGATTCATTGCACTCCCTTAGCATGCCTTATTCATTTCACCACCGTTTACCCTGTAGTTCTCCGTCCAGCGTTCAACCAATGGATCTCAATACTCATTCGGCCGCTTCGGCGGCTGCTGCAGCTGCTGCTGCTTCCGCGTACAGCCAATCGATAAGCATGACAGACCTTTCACAAATGACTCCGTCGAGTGCGGCGGCGGTGGCAGCAGCTGGTCTACCGCCGCCGCCGCGACATCTTCCAATAATCACGAGTTCAATTGCTTCCAATCCGGGGTCGGGTAGCAATGAGATTGAATCTTCTGGACCTGGAGGTGGTGGCGGGCATTACATTACACGGCTAGAATAGTCACTAAGTCAGCCGCTGTCGTTGACTCATCACCATCATCATCAACAGCAGCAGCAGCCACCTCCTTCACAGTCCAACATCCAGCAACCGCCCCCACAGGCGGATCATCATTCCCTAGCGCCAATAGAACTCACCAGTACCGCACAACAGCAGCAACAGCAGCAGCAGCAACAGCAGCAACAGCAGCAACAGCAGCAGCAGCAGCAACAGCAACAGCCGCCGAGTGACATGGAAGGATGATGAGACTGAAGTTGATCTTTTGAGATTTGAGTACTAACGGCGAGCGGCTGACTTCGAATATTGAACAAAATTCCCAAAAGCCCTCGACTGACGGTTGTTTCATGAAATGTGATATTGTAATACGTTAATTAGCACACATTTTAATCAAAAAAAAACATGATTACCCGGTAGCAGATGTGTAGTTTTTTTCGGATTGTAAATCCGAGTAACAATATGTAGTAGCATTCAAAATGTATGGTTTTTATGCGCAAGTTATAGCTAGACCCAGAGTTAGGAGGTTTTGAACAGGAAACACGAATCTAGTTGTAGGATTATTTATAGCATGATAGAATAGAATTGAGATGAAAGGAAGTATGCGATTCTGATACAGCTGCATGCGCTGCCTAACAAGCAAAGAAATGGAGAAACGACAAAACTAATAATCAAACCATGTGTATGTACTTAAGCAAAACATGAACAAAAAAAAATGAAATCAGAGTTCATTCTATCAAGCAAAATGTGTTGAAAAGTAATGTGAACGAGAAATCGAATTTTGACAAATAAATATTTGCCAACCGCGAAAGCGCGAGAAAAATGTGATTCATTACCAGAGAAGGAAGCAAACCAAGCAAACACAAGCGGAAACCACCCCTTTTCCATTCAATTATCGTGTTTGGGTTTACTTTCTTTGTTTCCATGAGCTCGCGCGCTCTCGTTTTGACAGATGGCTTTACGAAACCGCGCAAACGACGAAACCACACCAAAGTAAGCAGTGCGTTGCGGTGGATTGATATCCATGTGTCAAAAGGAAGGCGCAGCGTAAATGCCATCGTTTGCTTCGCACAGACAGTAATAGTTCATTTCAATTACTCTATTTTTTCCCTCCAAAACGCTGACCAAAGTCGCGGTTCCAGATCGGATCGAATCGCGTAAGTAAACCGCTAAAAACAATCACCGTCGGTTGTCGTCGTCATCGCCGGCGTCGATGGTGTCATAAAGAGATCGTCATATTTCCAGCTTGCTACGTTTGCTACAATCCTCCCGACCCTTCATCGTGTGCATGTGTTTGTTTTTCATTTTTTAGTCTTTTATTGCATTCACCGCAGGCGAAATGCGTGTATTTTTTCCACATTCAATTTTTTTTCGGTAATTTATGACTTAATTGTACTGCTTTGACATGATCGTAAAACTGATTTTTCGGCTTTTATCCCTTTTCCCTTTTCTGTATTCGTTCGTTCAGTTTTCGGCTTTTGATAAACGCATTGTTTATTTTATGCATGCCGTCTCGCTGTGGCCGTCATTGACGCATTGTTTTGCTAGATTTTAACTTCTGATGGCTACAAGAAATCCGATTGTTCTCCTCGCAGTGTTTCGGTTTGTGTTCAAAAATGTGTCGATTAAGATTTCTTTAGTTGGTGAAATATGTTCAATTGTAGTAATAGACGTTTATAGCTTTATTAGCGAGAGTTTTAGCACAATGGAATGCATATTTTTGATACTAAAATAGGACTGAACACATTTTGTCTGCATCCTTGGTTCAATATGATCATAACGTTTTTTTTTCTTTCTATGGCGTATTTGTATGCTTAAGTCTTCTTGGTGTGTCTTGCACTAATTAATAATAATTGGATTTTTTAAATTAGAAACAAGTTGTTAGGAATATTTACAATAGACTTAGTAGTATTTTTTAGGTAGAATTTTAACCGCCTCAATCGATTTTCACGTAATGCAGGGCACATAAGAAGGGACCCATATGAAGAGGTTGTTAAAAATTTCCGAATTGCAATATTCAATTTTAATATGATTTTATTGTGATTTTGTAGTTCCTATTCAAGTATGGGAAATTTATTCACGGAAACAAAATAGCCATCCTCATGTAACAATTTGGGTTTTATGAGGGTTCTGAAGACCATTATTTAGACTTGTAGAATGCTATAAAACCACGATAAAACTTGCAAGATCAACAGATTATGTTTTAATCTGTTCTGAAACAGTAGTTTATTAAAACTATATTTGACGTAGGCAGTAAATAATAACAGAAGGAATGGTAAAACTACACTTTTGTTTTAAATTACGTGCTACAATATGCAAAAAAAAAATCACATAGGGGAAATGACGGCTTCGGCATGACAGACTATTTTCGGCAACTCAAATGGAAACGCTAATTTCACTGGATTTTCTTACGAAAACACTTCGCTGAATGCATTAAAATTATCTTTTAGGCTTTCAGCTTCCATTTGATTATATTTTTACCACTGAAAAAAAGCAATCTAGCAGAGATTTCTTGAAATTAAACACACGCACTACAAAGTGCTTCTGATTTCGAGTTGTCGATGAAAGCACAGCTGTTTAACACGAAGCTCAAATAGAAAGGTTGCCGAATAAAAAGATGTTGCCCACAATAGTCGCTCTCACTTGAGAAGATTGGAGCTTTGTAAAAGCGTTTCAAACCCATTTTTGACAATTCTTTCGACTGAAATTAGAGCTGCTGGCAGCAAATGATTGTAAAGAAATCAATTCTGCATATGTGTGCGTTCCTTAGAGAAAAAAGCTATAGAAAGTGTGTGGCTGCTTAGGTTGCCGAGAATTCGTAAATTCCTCTAGGTCGTGTTGACTAGTCAAGTTGTACTCCGGACATGTCACATTGTACGATTTTTCTCAATGACATAATTAATGAGTATTACATTTGGCGTTTTTTCCCTACATCATCTAGATTCCCTTTCAAATTCTTCAGAATATAGTACTTAACACTGGAAAAATGACTGGTGGCCTTACTAATAACCTTAGGTTGGATTTCCATGCCCCGATAGGGTGGGGCTTATATATAAAAATCGATCAGGGAACATGTTTTCCCATGTGGAAAATGATTATTGGGACTACATAACAAAATTTGGTCTATTTTCGTTAACATTTAGAGGTGGCGCAAGGGGTCTAAGTCCAAAATGTCAAACTATGAGCTTTTTCAAATAAAACATAAACACGTGATTTGTGCATTTTGCGGATTGCACTGGTCTTGTTCTCCGAGCTAGACAGCTCCACTCCGACACGTGCTACGAAGGGTCTACGGTCGGTTGGGCGGTGATTCGTAGGTGTATAATCCACTTTCAGACGGTGTCAGCTAACCGTTTTATATGGCAGTGACTGTTCTCGTGGGTTAAGGCCAAATCTGTTCTACAAAATTCAACCATATTTATCAAGGACCGGGGCAGAAAACCAACTAATCAGAGCAGATGAATAGGAATTTCCATGGAAATACGTATTCTCGTGAATTTAAGGGGAGGTTCTCATTCAAATTAAAAAAAAAACGATCGAATTTTTTGTTATTGCATTTTTTGAAAGGTATAAGTGTCTACTATAATGTGATGAAAGGGTTTTTCGATCCGTGCACAAGAAAAGTTTCTACAGGCCACTATTGTTCGAAGTGGCGTCCCGGCCGCCATGGGACGCTCTCGGCTCGAGACGCGCGCCTCAGGTAGAAACCTTTTTATGGCATTATGCACGTTCCCACTGTTGCGTTGCACTCAGTGATGTGTTCTTCAAATTTGAGCTAAGTAGTCGCACACAATATTGACTTGCGCCCTTAAAATATAAATTTGTCTAAAATAACGACGCATCCGTCCGTCGCCCCGTTTCAAATAGTGTATTATCTAGTTCAGGCCTGCCCAACCTTTCGAAACTTGCTTTTTGAATGGCTGTAACTATTTTCGATGAATATTTCAAGCTGCATTTTGTTTCTTTCACATTCATGCTGGGCTTAAATTCATAATTATGAATAAAACTGCACTGCTGAGATCCAGAGACCACGTCTGGCCCTGTGTAATACAGATTACATTCTCATGCTAAATTATGTCGGTACTATCTGAAGTGATTCAGTACTTTCTAAAACTTTTCGGCAGTAATTCAGTACTTTTCAAACTGATTCCGAGATTTTCTAAAGTGTTTCAGCACATTCAGAAAAGATTTCGACCTTTTTTGAAATGATTCTGTGCTGTTCAAAATGATTCGGATTTTTCGGAAGTGATTAAATATTTTCTGAAGGGATTTCAAACTTGAGAGAATTGATACAGTACTTTCCGAAGTTTTGTGAAGTGATTAAGTCCTTTCCGGAATTATTCATTTCTTACGGAAGCGATTACAAATTTTCTAGATAGGTTAAGTATTTTACAAAGAGAGTCAGAAATTTTCTTAAGTCATTCAATACTATCCGAAGAATTTTCGAGCTTTTCTTAAGTGATTCAGTACTTTCAGAAATTATTTCAAGCTTTTTCAAAAGTGTTTCTGTTCTTTCCGAAGTGATTTTTAGTACTTTCGGAAGTGTGTTTGTAATAATTCAGTACTTTTCGGAGTGATTCCAAACATTACTGAAGTGATTCAGTACTTTCTGAAGTGATTTCGAACTTTTCATAAGCTATTCAGTGCTCTCTGAAATAATTCAGTACTTTCCGAAGTGATTCCGAATGATTATCAAGTGATTCAGTACTTTCCGAAGTGATTTCGAGCTTTTTGATATGATTCCAAACTCTCTCATACCTCACCGTGAAAGAATTTCGAAAGCATCATCATGTCAAAATTCATATCTTACCACCAATAAGAGGATTTTCCCCGTTATTCGTTAACCTCAACCGGATGAACATCTTAACAGCTCAGTGGTACTATTTACCTTTCTTTTTATAGTTGGAGATGCTGAACGTCAAATGTCAAAATTTGTCGTTTTACACGATAGATGAGGAGATGAACGTATAGAGTTGATAGTTCCGTTAGAGTACGGCAGTGTGGAAATTGTATATAGAGAGTAGAAAGCGAGCAAAAGTCAATTTTGAGGAAGGCACGAAGCGGGTTGATCATCTACTTTACCAAACTCCCCTGTTGGGGAGGGATGGTAAGGGGTATCTCTGGAGATCATGAACCCGATTTGTGCCTTCCTTCTTTTTTCCTGAACGTGTAGTTGAGGGACGCTAGCCACTTCAAATTTTACGATTATGATAATTTTTCCCTGAAAATGTTTATCAATCCATTTCAAATGAAACATATTTTTTTTAATTTTTCCCTGGACTTTTCTACCAGGAGTGGTATCAATTTTTAACTATAAATATATGTTTTTACTTTTTCCCTGACCGTGTACATCAGGGGCGCCAGACACTTAAAATTTAAAGATTTTTATCAATTACCTAAAAGGCTTACCAGGGGCGCTAGCACTTTTTAACACCATTATTTATAAATTTTTCCAACATCATGTTTGCCAAGACATTTTAAATTTAATTTGTTTTAATTTTTTCATTAACATGTCTACCAAGGTTACTATAGATATTTCTAATCTATATATTTTTAAATGTTTCCCTGATCATGTTTACCAGGGGCGCAAGCCACTCCAAATATAGATATTTTGATCAATTTTAACCTGAACATGTTTACCGGGTCATTTCAAAGTTAACTTATTTTTTTTTCAATGCTCGAATTCGGCTACCAGGAACGTAAACCACTTGAAATTTATCATTTATTCCTGAACGTGCCTACCAGACAACATATTTTAATATTTTTTTCAATTTTTTCCCAGAGGCGCTTACTAATTCAAATTTTATATTTTTTTTTCAGATTTTCCCAAATTTCTA